CGATTCGAACTTTTTTGCCAGGGACGTAAAATCAGTCCGCTTCTTTTTCGAAAAAGTAAAATTGTTTGAAAAAGCAAGTGGTTCAGTGATCATTGCCTCAAAAAAAAAGATTCTTGCTCTTGGGGGTTTTGATTCCAAAATGTACCCGGAATTGGACAACATAGAGTGGACTACCAATTATAACTGGCAAAACCAAGTTTTGGAGCAAATAATTTCTGAAATCAAGGATGCTAAATATTATGGAATTAGCATCGATTCAACCCCTAATATTAGTCATGTAGATCAGCTCGCACTTGTTATTCGCTATGTACTCAAAAATGGAAATGTAGTACAGCAATTTCTTCATTTTATTCCAATTGAACACCATGATGAAGAATACATATTTAATCTTGTGGTTGGTATTCTTCAGTTTCATAGAATAGACATCAAAAATTGCCGATCACAATCTTATGATAATGCCAGCAATATGAGTGGAATATATTCTGGTGTGCAAGCTAGATTTAGAGGGATTAATCATTTAGCAGAATGGATTCCATGTGCTGCCTACAGACAAAACTTAGTTGGTTCAGCAGCCGTGGAGTGTTTTGGTGTCATACAGTCAGTTTATAATTTTTTCTCAGCTTCAACAAAGAGATGATCAACTCTTAAAGAACTTCTTAAAGAAAACGTATTTGTTTTACAAAGCTTATCAGAAACTAGGTGGTCCTCTAGAAGTGATGCCACAAGAACTTTCTATGCAAATTACTTAAAAATTCGTCAAGAATTATGTGAAGTCACTAACAGCAAACATCAACCACCAGCAGCTGTTCATGAAGCGAAATCACTGGTTAAACATTTAGACTACTTTGAAACTGCGTTAATGTGTGTGATTTGGAAAGATTTACTTCAAAAGATTAATATTGTCAATAAAGCCTTACAGGAGCCAGGTATTGAGCTGTGCACCATCATTAAACTGTATGATGGTCTCACACAGTATTTTCATGATACACGCAGTAAGTTTGAAACATTTGAAGGCCAGGCAAAAGATCTCACAGAATCTGATTACAAAGAAGCTACACAACGCATGCAAATACGGAAGCAATTTGATGACGAAGTTATGGATACAAGTAATCCCAGTTTAAATGTTAGTGCCATTGATTATTTCCGTATTCAACAGTATTACGTTATCATAGACAGACTTAATAATGAGATGGAAAAACGCAGAGCAGTTTATAAAGTATTGTACGAAAGGTTTAACTTTCTTCTTGACAACAGATCTTTTTCGAGTGAGGAAGTAGTGGCTAAAACCTAGGCACTAATTCAGTTGTATCCATCAAACCTCGAAGACAAATTTACCGATGAGTTTTTGCTGTTTTCTCAAATGTTTAGTGTCTGTAATCGTAAATCGGTGTCTGATAAAACTAAGCTGCAAATAGACAATAAACTAGTTGCAAGTTTTCCAAATGTTAATATTGCTTTCAGGATTTATCTCTCTATATTAGGCACGAATTCAGAAGGTGAACGTTCTTTTTCAAAATTAAAACTGATAAAAAACTATCTGCGTTCAACTATGGGACAAGCCCGACTATCCTCCCCGGCACTGCTATCAATTGAAAATGAAGTAATGCGGGAGATGACATTCGAAGATATTATAGCTGATTTTGCAAATGCTAAAAGTCGAAAAGTTAATGTCATCTAATTATACTGTTTGATTATAAATATTTTTATCGATTATGAATATTATGCTGCATCTGTATGATTGTTTAATTAATGAAATGAAAAACACTTAAAAATTTTTTTTTTTTTCATTACTTTTGTAGGCCCTTGTAGATTCGTAGGCTCTAGGCACAGTGCCTATAGTGCCTAATGGATAAGATGGCCCTGACAATACATGTAAAATTAGTGTTGTTTAAGTGTACTTCGACTAAATTGGCTAAAAGTTGACTAGTCCAAAGTGAAAATTAGTTGACTAAGAAAAAACAAATAATTGATTTAATCGACGATAGACTTCCTACTAATCAACTAAAAATTGATTTGGTCGAGTGAAAACCAAAAATTCCTTTTATCTTTTCATTCGATTTAACTTTCCAATTTTTTATTTTGTTTGTTCGTTTAAAAACAAAAGCATGTACTAGAGATGTCACGAATACTAACTAGAGATGTCACGGATTGTGGTTTTGTCGAATATTAAATATTCGGCAATTAATTTGAGGTTTTCAAATTGAAAGAGAAGTTGCAACAATAGGTACAACAATAAAAGTACCAGCATTCACTTAAAGAAGAATTTAGCTCTCTCTTAAAAAAGTGGATAATTCTAGACAGCTTGCCAATGTAATGATTGATGTTAAGGTGGTATCCAGCCATTAGTTCTATTTTTTTATATTTTACACATAATAAAAACCTATGATGAATTACTAGCATAATAGATAAAGATCTAAAACGTAATGCAATTTTTTTTTTAAATTAATAAAAAATAAATGCTGATTCAGCAAAAAAAGGTGAAAATGTTAACGTCACAAGAACATAAATATCTTAAGAATAAATCAATATTAAAGGTTTAAATTTTGCATAAAGCTAGTACACTAGTGTAGCTAGTGCCTGAACCAATAATTTTTGAAAAAAATTTAAACAATCAAAAATGGCAGACTTAATGATATAAAAAACTATTTTTAGCGATAAAACACTAATTAGATATGGTAATTGTAGGTTAAGCTTAATTTTTTTAAATGTTTTTTTAGGTTCAGCCACTAAAAACATCAATAATGAACATATCCTGAAAATTTGAAGCTAAAATAATGTTTTTTTAATGAGATATCATTGTTTTGCTACAGCTACCCGTACAAAAAACAAAAATTGAGAAAAATCAATTTTAAAATTATAAATCATGTATACTACTCAGATAAGTCATTAAAAACCACCAGCACAATAATCTTTTGCAGTTTCTTTATCTAATTTTTGTCCAAAATAGTTTCTTCTAACAGATCTTAATTTTTTTCTCTTTTTTTTTGTTTCATCTGACATTTTTTTGTTCATATTTTTTAGCCGTATAGAGTTTTTTTTACTTGCACCAATTTCAAAGTAACTACCAGATTTAATATTAAGAGCATCAAATACAGAAGATAACTTAGCAAAACCATCATTATAAGTAATGGTTGCAGAGTAAACAGCCATTTCAACAACAACTTTAGAGGTGAATATAGTTTTAGGGGATCGGTTCCAAATTAGTTGATTAAACGCTTCATTTCCATTTTGAGTCATACCATGCAAACATTTTGCAAGCATACCAGTATTTGCTAGATCTTGAAATACTGGCTTGATCTTTTCCATAATGGCAACGGGTAAATTCACCTTTTTCTTGTATGTAACATGACCAGTTGCTCTATCAGACTGCCATTTACACCAGCTTTTTTCACCCTTAGTGCAAAACATATGACGATATTCTCCAGAGGTAAAATTAGTGCAATGATGAAGTGAAGCTATTACAGAGTTCCTCATTTCCAAAAGACTATTTGAATTTTGTCTAATAGCCATTCCAACATAGTTTTGCAAGATGTTAATTACTTTATCCGTGAGACGACCTTTACCAGATATACTTTTTCCGTCAGATAGTTTTACCCGTCGTAATTCTTTTCTTTTAAGACGCAGTCGATTCCCTGTACGCTTCTGGTAATGCCCAATACATTCTAGTTTTATTGGAACAAGGTCATCACCATAAGGTTTTTGTGCAATAACTGTGCTAAACGAGGTAGTGTCTCCGTCTCCGAGATATTTAGAATAGCGAATGTTATATTTATTTACTGAAGAGCAAAATATTTCTGTTGCACCAGCTGACTCCATCGCACCAGCTGATTTAGTGTGGTTTACTTGGCAGGAATGATTAACTTTCCACTGCTCATATTTGAGTGTCCCTTTTTTTCTTTCCCAAATTTGAAATCCTTTACAAAACTTAGATAATGTAACAGTATCCAATACTTTGTTGTTGTCGTGAGACGTTGCTACCACAACACCGTTTAAAGAAGAATATCCTCTTCGCTGCCAGGTACCATCAATAGAAATACCACAATCAATAACATCATTCATATTAGAGTCAGGTTTCAGTATTCTCCTAGCTTCCATAGCAGCATTTTTCATACTTTGCTCAGCGACTGATTTATAAGCATCGTAAAGTTTGCTATTAATACAGTCAAAACTAGGTTTTGATAAAGGTGGTGGCATGTTCATTATGGAGGTAAAAGTTAACATTGCATCTCTGCCTCTGCCAATCTCCCTGAATGCCATAACACTGCGTACATTAATTTCACTAGTATTTATACCAGCTTTATTGTTTTTGACAACAGGAGAAGAAAAAAATGTATCTTTAAAAGCACAACCACTGCAATAAATTTGAAAAAACAAAGAAAAACCCAAGTGTCTTGAATGATCATGCAACATGGAAAGCTTTGTACCACATATATTACAAGTAGCATACTTTTCAAAACAACTTTTCATTTGTTTAAAATGCATAAAAAATATAAATTCGTCGTCATCAAATAATGTTTTTTCAAGATTATTTTTTAGCTTTTTACTACTTGTAGAACTTCCTGTGTTTGTATCAAATTGCTTATTGGTATTATTGGAATTATTATGCTGATTGCCGTTCAACTTTCTTTTCCTTGGTCTTATTATTCTTTTTTTGTTGGCCATAATATACTTTTCAACAACTTTTTAACTGTAATAGGTAAGATATAAAAATTTAAAGTGTAAAGCACTATTTCATCTGAATTCAAAAAGGCAAGAACACGATGTTAAACCGTTAAAAATAGCAATGTAACTTAGATTTATGACATTTAGACCAATATAAACTTAAAACATTAAAAAAAGAGTAGTTACAGGCTTGCTATGTCTAATTTTCAGAGACTAACTTATAGGCTAAAACGGTTGCTATGGTCGTTGCTATGTGATATAAAAATATCTTGATGTGTTTGAGAAGAATATTCTTAATATTCTAACATTATTTTTGAAAAATATTTTTTCTATTGAATTCTACAATGTTCAATTGTATGAATAACATTTTTTCAAAATTTTCATTTTTTTTTTATTTTTCACCAAAATAATGGCTGGATACCACCTTAAGTGACTTATTGGACGATTGAGAAAGTAAATAAAAAAGGCTCTAAATAAAAATGTATCTGTTTCTGTGGGTCCGTTACTCCGAACAAAAATGTCGCAATAAGTTCTGCCTGTACCATACATCTAGTGCTGCATTTGATAGTAGTATTTATGTTTTTTTATAATGTTGACTTATAATGTTGACTTATTTTATAATGTTGATTTATGTTTTTTTACAATGTTGACATAATTATTGATTGAACTACTTTTATACACTTTTCATCTTTGAAGTCTATGACTATTTTAAATGGGCATTTGATTTCTAATACTCTAGCGCCACGGCATCTACAATAAAAATATCCACGAGAACTTCCTCCTAAAAATTCATTTTCAATATTATTTACAATCCAGCACCAATTAAGCAGAAGTTTTCGTGCTCTGCTGCTGATAGAGTTTTGAGCTTGTTTTTTGTTTTTTTTTTTACTGTAGTTTAAAGCAGGTACATTTAGGCTCTGCTTATATTGCATTACTTCATTAATAAATTATAGTTATAGATTTTCAACATCAATACAAAAGAATTGTTTGATATGGAAGCTGTAAAACAACCTGCACTATGTAAATCCCGAGTTTTATTATCATTTTTTGTTGTAGTAACAACAGCAAGTTATTTAAACTGCTTTTTATATCTATATTTCACAAATTATTTACTGAGTCGCTTTAAAAAATTTTACATGATGGATCATATAATTAGGGTTCTAGGGTTTGTTCAAGTGTCTCAATTGTCATACTTTAGACTTTTGAACCTTTCTTTAGCCCATTTTTGGGACGTTTATGCAAGTTCTAAATCTCAAAGAAAATATTTTTTTACTTTTAAGCGTTTCTACTTATTTAGAATAACCAAAAAAAAGTGCATGGTAATTTTATTACGCGGAATATTGTACACAAATCTGTCTGCAAAATCGCAAACTTTTGCGATTTTTTTCGATTATTTCGCATTACGGTAATTTTGTAGATATTTTTAAGTTTTTTGAAAAAAAGCACAACATATATGTTGCATGAAATATCAAGCAAATTCATACAACAAACTTCTTATTGAATTATTATTTAAAAAATATTTTGTTATATTTATTCATTGTTTTTTCGTTTTCTTGGTGGTCTTGTTTAATAATAAAAGCAAAGGTTGTCTCCTCTACATTTCTAACAAAATCATTGTTGTCCCTTGAGAGCTTAACAGTTCTTTTAGAGCAACCATTAACTTATTTTTAATTATTTTTATTTATACTATTGTGATTATGATTTACGGAAAATAAATAGCTTGTTATTGTTGTTGTTGCTGTTGCTAGCAACAGGAAAATAAAAACAGCATCCTGAAATTTTAGGTAAAAATCATTACATGTGCAATATTTGAATAGATGGGAGCTCATCTATCGACATTCACTTTTACTTCGATCTATCATAAAAAACACAAGCCACAAGTAAAATAGTAATAAAAAAGTAAAAAGTTTTCTGTGAAATCTAAAGATCTGAGGGCCTTAATGTTGGCTTTCAATTGGTTTGATGGATATTATTTCTTCACATTTTTCATCAACTAAGACTATAGCACAATAGGACAAAAGTCTAAAACCATGTGTGAACAGCAAAGAATGATCATCATGTAACGACAGCATAGAATGATCTTGATAAAGACAACAATGTAGGTTTTTATATAATTAGATACAATTTTTGTAAAATACTATTTTTCTCTAGCATATGTATTTTTTACTTTTGTGCCCAAATTTCTTTGAAATTTTGAGTATAATGGTGTTGAGAAGATTGAGGATTCCTAAGGAAACTTTATAAAAATATTATCAGCAGTGGTTCTCTAAAAAAGCTCAATAACTCGATATCTGAACTTGTTAATACTTATGATGTATTTAATTTGCAGCAATTTATTCTCGATAAAGATTTTTCTTGATTTCTAGCAATCAGCAAGTCCTATTGAATTCGCAGATTGCTTGATTCTATATTAATTGCTACATATTAAATATGTATGTATATTTTTGCTACATATTAAATATGTATGTATATATTTGCTACATATTAAATAGGTATGTATATATTTGCTACATATTAAATAGGTATGTATATATTTTGCGAAACAAAAAGTAACTCTTACTCTTTTTTTTACAAAAAAAAGTATACATACCTATGTATAGTTAATTATACCTATATATTCTAATTTACTTTCATTTTTAGGTGGGATTACAAGAAAGTACTACGTTAAGCTTACATTTATTTACTTTCTGAGGGAAAGTACAAGTTTCGTACTCCCTAGCAGTCCACCATACCCGCTTCATGGTAAAAGGTAAAAGGTAAAGGTAAAAGGTAAGGAATTGTAGCTTCATGGTAAAGAAAGGTTTTTGTTGCACATTAAAAAATATTTAGCTTTTTAATAAATAAAAGTATATAATAAATTCATTTTTGGTATCTACTACATAAAGCTCCAGCTTTTGATGGGTGAAACAGTCAATCTTAAAAAACAAGTTATGCATAAGACTAATGAATTGGCAACTTTTGTGGTTGCCTTCTAAACTACTGGTTTCTCAAAGCTGAACTAGCCTCATTGCACGATGTAAGGTTAGTATCAATTTAAAAAATGTGAAATTCTAAAGAAAGAAATACATATATATAATTTTATATATACGTTTAAATATATAATTTCTTTAGTATATATGTAATATGCTTAACATAAAACATATTAATTCAATTCCCATAAAAGGTAAATATAAAGTTGTGCAAACGTAAAATTTAACGTTGAATCAATTAAAAAACAACAAAAAATACAACGTAAAATACAACGTTTGCCATCGTAAAATACAACGTTGTGCCAACGTAAAACCCAACGTTAAATCAACGTAAAACATTACGCAATGCCGACTTAAAAAACAACGTTGAACCAACGTTGTTTTTTAGTGGTTGGCGACGTCACATTTGTAACGAAAATGATATAAAAACAACATTGGCGGTCGATGTTAGGCCAATGTAACGCACAAACATTGTTCTAACGTTTTATCAACGTATGTGTGCTAGCTAGACACACATCCAACCAATCATTATGCATTTACCATCAAATTTCATTTTTATCTTTACCGTAACTTGCGTCATACAACACCTGTGAAAATTTGTACTTAAATTTATACTTACATTCTTATTTGTTCGCACATATTGCGCGATACATCGACATGAGGTCTCTTAACGTTTTTGCTTTTAACTATCCATATCTAAGATAAGTTTCTATTTTTTTATTTAATATATCATACATCGAATAAGTTTTTGAGGTTAACTAGATAATGTTTAGTAAATATTTTATATGATTTAGTATTTAGCACTCAAGTTACTATAAAACTATTCATTTGGAATTTGTCTCTTTAAGACTACTTCTTGCACATTTGCTTCTATCATGTCTATTACACTATAAAATTTTGTTTTAATATACTACAAAGTTTGATATCATATTGATATCATACGGATATCAATATGATATCAAACTTAGATATTTATGATATCAATATATGATATCAATATGATATCAAAATGAAATCACTCGTTGAAATCATTCTGAACTCAAAACCTGATATCATACTATGAGAAGTTTGTGATATCAATAAGATATCAAAATGAAATCACTCATTGATATCATTTTGAAATCAAAGGCTGATATTATAACATGAGAAGTTTATGATAACAATTTGATATTAAAAAGTAATCAATCATTGATATCATTCTGAACTTATAACTTGATATAAAATGAGCAGTTTATGATATCAAAATGAAATCACGTATTGATATCATTACTATCATTTACTTAATAATTATTTTGATTATAAAAACACTTTTTCAAAGTGAGGAGGGCGGAGGGAGGGGGGCAAACTCATTCATTAAAAGAAATCGTCTATTTCGTAAAAAAATTCAGTTTATAAAAAATAGGTCCTTGAAAAAGCGGGTGTTGAAAAGTAAGGAATTATAGTAAACTTTGAAAGGGGGTAAAGTAACTGAGTTTATTCAAGGTAAATGAGTAAAAGCATAAATATTGACTTATCAAAAAAATTGAAATCAAAATAATACAAAGAGGCATTAAAATTCAATTACAAATAAATTTAAAAATGTTGAATGTTCCATTTTTAAAATCATTAAAGCACTTTATAGCTCATTTAGCATCTAACGAATACCAAATATGGTTAGTTAACTTGTAGAGCATTTCAACTGTGCACAAGTGATAAAATAACTGCTGCTGCTAGATTATCAGGTTCCAAAAGAAAAAAAAATCAAATCTTCTAAACTTTTTTTTTATTTCATTATTGAAACAAAGGTGCTTTACTCCACTCAAAAATGTATCCGCTTAATTACTAGAGATGAAGGCAAGCTTGCTAGAACCATTCATAATGGCTTTAAAATTGTCAAATTTTCGCAAATTCTTTTTTTCAAAAATACTTATCCTCAAAATTTACATAACTTTTTTCAATTAAAAAAGTTTTGGACTGTTTTTATTTTTAAATAAACAAATTAACTTGGTGCTTTATAAAAAGTATATGTTTTAGTTATATATTTGATTTAATTTATTCATAATATGTCTAGAATTGTTGGTATTTTAGAGGTGTTTTTCTAAATTTCCTCATCTTCCTTTTTCTAAATGCCACTCGAAGATCGTTTAATTTTCTGATTTTTGCATTCACTAAACGGCAGTTATTGTTCAAAAAAAAAACTAGCTGCGA